ACTTAACCAATTTATTTAATTTTAAATTAAATTGTAAAAGGATAATTTGGCAATAAGGATTCGTATAAAATATAACATAACATCAAGCCTTTTATACCCGAAGGAGTAGGCAGAGGAACACATTACACAATAGTACTTAATGCTACTGTACAATGTAACACCCACTTTACACTTTTATGTTATGAGTCCTATGTAATTGAGAGAGCCTAGTGTCATATACCAGGCACAAATTCCAGAGTCCGTACTACTACCTACTGAGAATTTTTAAAAACCGAATATTTAAGAACCTAACCACATCCTGAACTTTTCCCTGACCAGTTGTGTTTTCCCCTCCTTGTGGAAGGAAGCACAAATTACTCCTCTCCCCAAAAAACCTAAACCAGGGAGTTTTTCCGACTATCGCCCCATTTTTATTTTACCATTCCTCTCAAAAGTCCTCAAACGTTTCACAACATTTTCCTCACCAAATACAATCTTCTCAATCCTTTCCAGTCCGGGTTTCGTCCGGGACATAGTACCACTACAGCACTAGTCAACATTACAGATGACATAAGATCTGGCATTGAGAACGGAAATCTTACTCTTCTAGCGTTGCTGGATTTCAGCAATGCTTTCAACACCGTTGATATCGATATACTGCTGGGAGTACTGAACTCTCTTAACATATCTCCGGCTGTGACTAATTGGTTTCGTAGTTACCTGTGTGGCCGCCGGCAGCGTATCCATATTGAAGGCTCCTTCTCTTCTTGGTCTAATACGACTGCTGGCGTACCGCAGGGTGGCGTTCTTTCTCCTTTACTCTTCGCAATTTTCATAAATTCTATCTCCAACGATCTTCTATCATCCTACCACTTGTATGCTGACGATTTACAAATTTATTCACAGGCACCTCCTTATGAATTCTCCGAATCGGACCACTTGCCACCATTCAGCCAACGAGGCGGTTTAAAAAAGTATCCATACTATTTAACCTCTTGAATGCACCGATGTGAGACAATAGAAAATACATTATGTCCCGGGTTAACTCGAGTACCGTCATTATAGACACAAAGAACAATAGGTTGCGGTCATCGGTGACCGTGCGGTGTTTGACAGTTTAAGCCACGTTAAGACTCACGATGGGAGTCGCGGAGAACCTAACGGGTTACCGGGGCTCTGGCTCGAAGTGCAGGAGAAGGAACGGGGTGGTTTTAAGTCAGTAAGAATCTGACACTCCCTCCCGCCTCACCCAGGCGGGAGAAACCATTCGATGATTTTCCGCCTTAAAAAAAAGACACACAAAAATAATTTAAACAAAAGACTCATTTAGTTAATATTCTTTATTAAACCAAAGACTAATGACGTATCTCATAAGTATTAGGTTTAGGGTTTGGCATGACTTTCATAAAATAAATACTTTGTTTATGCTCGTATGAAAGGCGGGTGAGCTTCGTTCTACACTTGATGGGTGTTGCTCCACAAGATGTGGGCACCCGTTCATAAAACAGTGACGTTGTTGGTTCACATTGCTCGGACGCTGCCTCAGATTGCGCGGACGCTGATTTCTGCTTGTACGAGTTTGTATCTGATTGAGAACTTTTACTTTGGGCTAAAGTTTTAGCAAAGTACTTTTCGTGTACACTCAACCATTCTACGACCTGTTAACAAATTAATGTATTAAAAGAAAAATGTAGTATTATTGAATTTGTCAGCAACAAGCATAAACATATTTGAATAGACTAACTAGAAGATTTTTATAATAATAGCAATAAAATTAGCATAGATTAATGTACTTACAAACCCATTCCGACATTGTAATGGCTCTGATTGAGTATCCATTGAGTATCGACAATCACTGTGCACAGTTTCAATAGAAATAACAAATTATTTGAAGGCACCTCGATATTTATAAGTCGTCCATTAACTAATTGATTACTACCGTAATTATTGAATACACTAATTACAAATTCGTGCAGTAATGCTTCTCAACATTCCCTTCCAGCTCTGCATCTCAAATGCATACATTCTGTGTCACGTATAATTTTGTGAATTTGACTTTCTGATAAAAATTAGAATAGAAGGTACGAGAACATTTATTGTTGCTTGAAAAAAAACCGACTTCAAAAAAGACCAAAAAGTAATAACAAACAAATAGTAAAAACGAAAAAGCAGGCATACCACCATATACAGAGCAGCGGGGTAACACAGTACGAATGCAAAACAACAAATTGAGGAATCTTACGCTAACATATAACTACCCTCACCACAAACAAATTGTGTGCAACTCAGACAAAGGGTTGCAAACGGTGGTCAGTTTGTTATCAATACATCTTTTGCGATGCCTTAAATGTGTTAGCCCGAACCTCGCAAAGTACCTGTCCCAGATATTATCATAAGTATCGAAAATACTATAATACGAAATAGGATTTTTTTTTAAGGGGGAAAATCATCGAATGACTGCTCCCGCCTGGGTGAAGCGGGAGGGAGTGTCAGACTCTTACTGACTAAGAACCACCCCGTTCCTTCTCCTGCACGTCGAGCCGGACCGCCGGTTACCCGTTTGGTTCTCCGCGACACCTCGCAGTGACGCCGAGTGCTTACGGCAACATTTATCATCGTGGTTACGTAAATCAACACCACCTAAAAGTAACATACTGCGAAAAGAAATATCTGCATTCCTCGAGTTACATAACCATCCGGACATTCTGGTGCTGCCAGCTGACAAGGATAACGCGACCGTGGTTGTAGATACTGAGGCGTACGAAGAGAAAATTTCAGATTGTGACACCACGGTCTATAAGAAAGTGTCATTCAATCCGATAGCCCGGGGGACTACAAAAACTGTAAAGTTATTGCAGGGCCTGAGTGATAAATAGTTGGTAGCACAATTACGCTCTCATAACCCTACACCCTACGCCCTACACCTAAAATCTACGGTTTACCAAAAATCCACAAACCAAACTGGCCCCTGAGATCTATAGCTCGTCAGATTGATGCACCAACATATAAACTATCATGGCATCTGGCAACTATATTGCAACCTTTCACGGAGTATACGAACTCATATACGTGAAGGACTCCCGTCAATTCACCCTACTAGCAGATATGCGATTCCAAGAAACAGATAATGATGAGCTTCGACATTACATCACTGTTTACAAATGTTCCAGTAGATGAAAATTATTACCACATTATTGAACGGGACATAAATCTGCCCTTACTGGATACATGTCACTATGTAAGCCCAATGGCAAAGCCTGCCAATGGCAAAGGCTTGCCTGACAACGAGTTATTTCTTGTGGAGAGGGGATTATTACCAGCGAGTGAACGGGTTCGCGATGAGTTCGCCACTAGCGCCAGTGGTTCCTAATATATATATGGAGTGGTTTGAAGGTTAAGGTCTAGCCTTAACGTCTGCCCCGGTACAACCGCGAGACTGCTGGAGATATGTTGATGACGTGTTCACCAACCGGGACCGCCCATGGACACCCGCAACACCAGAGGAGTCACAGGCGCGTTACTAGCGTTTTAAAAAGGAGTACGCTCTTTTCTTGAAGGTTTGAAGGTCGTATCGGTTCGGCAATACCGACGACGACAGATCATTTCATAGTTTTGCTGTGCGAGGCAGGAAGCTACGTGAGAAGCGCACAGATGTGGCCTGCCAACCATCTATATGATGGTGATGCAAATGCTGTTGTGAGGGTCGATGGCGAAAAGATGCGGCAGGTATCAGGTCAAACAATTCCTCAGAGCACTCCCTGTAGAATAAGCGATAGAAAATGCACAATGAAGCTACATCTCTACGCATTGCGAAACATCCCGACATCCAACAAGCACGCCGTTGAATCCAGATGGCTGTAGATCTTGTGCAGTAGCAGATACTCTCAGCGGAGGTGGGTGCAAATATGGTTATTTCCGCCACCGTGCCCAGGATGGTTACTGTTGAAACCAATCTCGACGTCAATACAATTTCAATCCAATAAAATCTCAATAAATATTCAATGTCAAAAGTAAACAACCCCTATCGTAGTTGTTAAAATAATATTCAGAGTACGGAATAAAGAGCTAAACTCAACACCATTTTAGTTCATAAATATCCACGCAATACGGATGCAATGGATGCTAGTGTTGCAACTCAAGAAGTATAAAATTTTACAATATAAACGTCGATCGACCCCCCCTGGTCCCATATTTTAGCAATTAGCTACAAACTGCCCATTTTGTACTGAGGTGACGTTTTTATTTTTGTGTTTTATGATAACGCAACAGTAGAAATAATATTTTTTTCTTTCTTTCTGTATCATAGTAAACTTGTTGCGTAGAACAATATTATTATTTTTTGTTTTATTTCTTATTACCAGGTACTCAGCGGGTCGAAGAAACACCAGAAATACTTTAATGCTATGATAAAACCGACAGTCAGAGCCCACAACCAGAACCAACAGAAACCAAATGCGAATATAACCCAATGAATTTTGGGTACGAGAACTGCCATAAACCGGACATTGGTTACAATATCAATACATTAGTTTACTATTGACCCATCTTACTGTTGCAAATGACAATGAATTTGTGAAATTACAGTGATTAATTTTGAATATTGTGTTGTTTTTATTATTTTTAAAGTTTTGCCCAAACCCGTGCACAATCATATCAAGCAGCAGATACAACGTAATGTAACCATGTAGGACTGCTACAGTAGGGTTTGAACAGTTGCTTACAAAAAAGTATTACAGACTAGTCTTCCCTGAGGCTGTAATACCACATTTTGTTGAGACTTACCGAAAGTAGATTAATTTTAATTTTAATTAATAATTACAAAACTAGACCATTAGTTAATATACCAATTAGTTACCTAGCACATTCTTCTGTATCGTTATTTGTTGCAAAATTTCAATTAACTAAACACCATTAATGATGATGGTGATTGCTAAACAGATAATTAAGGTTATATAAATGTCGAGGTATCGTCAAATACTTTATCATTTCTCCTGTAACTGTGACAACAACTTGAATAAACAATGGATACCCATACAGAGTCACCACCATGCCGCTGTGAATTTGTAAGTACATAAATAATCTTATTTTGTTTTAATTCTTTTTACTTATTTTTTTTTTTAATATCGAGACGCTTAGTATCGTCCTCAGTTGAGTCTATCAGAGTATGATAAAATGACAGTGTTCACGACATGACATTTTTCTTCATAAATATTTTTATCCTTTGCAGGTGTACGATTGGTTAGAGAAACACCAGCCATATTTTGACAATCCTGAATTAACATACAATCTTAACCTCGACTGTCCACAACTAGTGTTGGATTCGGGAGCACAACCTGCAGCTGTTACGCATTGTGGACCTACAAGGAAGAGGAGAGAGAAGCACTCGAAATATAAATCAACACCCTTATTTTACAAACCTAAACTGTTTACAAAAGAACCAGAATATTCTGAAGAAGAATTAGAATATTCTGATTCCTCTTCGGAATATTCCGAGGAGTCAGAATCCTCTGAAAAAGAGACAGTATCCTCTAAAGAAAAGTCGGAACCTTCAGAAGTAGAGACAATGTCGTCAGAAGAAAAATCAAAGGGGTCCGAAGTAAAATCAAAGTCTTCTGAAGAAGATAATCGATTTTTTAAAGTTGACCTACAAGGTTTTGAACAAGAAACCATAGATTTTGAAGAGCAGGCCCCATACTTTGGAGAAGAAATAGAAACAGCTGAAGAACAATACCCATTTTTGGAAATAGGGACAACATACGTAGGACAACAGCCCCAATATTTGGATCCTGGACCGGCCTACTTAGATCAACAACCCGAATATTTGGGATTAGGTCAACCACATTTTGAACAGCAGACCCAAAATTGGGAACCTTACTATGAACAACAAATCCCATATTTGGGCCCAGATCAAGAATATTATCAAGAATCACCTGAACCACTAGACCAAACTGGGCATTTTGAACAACAGATCCCATATAATACGGAACCAGTGGAATACTATGGACAACAGACCACATATTACACGCCAGTGCCGCCGTATTATACACTTATACCATTTTATTATGGGCCCACCGACTTCCAAGGTGGAGCAGTGCCCAATTACAGTAGCCATAATCAACACATGCAATATGAATAAATACCACACCGTTAACGGTGTGGCTTAATTTCGTACTAAATTAAAATATTCGTTCAAATATATTATTATTCCAGTGAGTACCAATGAATTTAAATAAAATAAATAATTATATAAATCAGTTTCGAATAAAGTTTTATTTTAGTAAATATATTTTGATATAATAGATATTAGTTGTATAAATCCTCCTGTAATATTTGTTTGACTGAAAGGAGCGCCACTTATCTATACAAGGCACAATATATTTAGTTTTGTTATAGATAAATACACAGTCAACGAAATATAATTATGTGTAAAGATCGCGAGTTGTACCCAAAGTTACTGTAAAAAATTGCTGTCCATGTAATTTTTTATTTTAATAAATTAAATATAATTTTCGATGTTGGCAAGTAGGTAACCTTGCAAAAATATTGCCATGTTTATAATAATTCGTGTTTTAAATTTCGCCTTTGTAATTTCGTTTCTTTGGAGACAGTTCACGATCTTTGAATTTAGTTTTTAATTAAATATAATGAAAAATAGTGTACCAGGACTTTCATCTGTTAAATTTTAGTTCATTTGAAACTTAATGGTAAAAGACAGAGGGCACTAAATTGCATTTTTACTTTTAGGTTCAAAATGAATGAGTCCGCTATATGATTTTTATACGTAGCATTATTGTCACATTATTTGTGTATAAATGTCAAATTGTATAAATTGTGTGTATCATAATTTACAATATATGTATTTTGATAATATTTAAAAAAAAAAAAATCTTCATCCGCTAGGTGGCGCTGCACCTCAGTGAACGCAAATTAAATGTCATATTATTAAATAATTAAAAAAAATACAAACAGTGTATAATAAGTGACTAAAAGTTGTTGAATTTGTTAAACATTAACTAATAACTACGTGACAGTGTTTTAGTAAATATCGTAAACAAACTGTGAAGATTTTTTGACTTTAAAACTTTCAAAGTTCAACTGACAAGGTAAAGGCAAAATTCGCAAATATTTACTTACTTATTGAACGACAATAATACAAAGACAATATAGTTAACCTGAACAATAATTAAGAAAACCCAGATGTGTTAAACTAAGTGATAGTAAAAAAAAAAAACTCAGTGATAAGTTTAAAAAAAAACGACCGGCAAATTGCAAATTGTAAAAAAAACCTATTGACCGTCTATTTGTGTTCTATGCAAATTATTAATTGCATAATAGACTCGACTAATTTCAATAACTTTACTAATGATCCAGTGGCTGATTGCTTAAACATACCGACTTACTCCACGGCCAGTACTGCGGTGGCTGGTTCAAACCCCAGTGACAACATTTACTTTTTGTGATTTATATTATTTTAGTTGCATTGCTATTATTATTTTGACATTTTACAATGGATTTCGAAAGCAACAATGTCACGCACCGTAAACCGTGTAGATCAAGCTCTTTAACCGACTTGACTATTATGACAAATGAGAAAGCTATATTTGACTGAACTATGATGAGTATACCTGATAGCTTTCATGATAACAGCGCTGCTTTAACTGATTTATCGGAACAAAATAAAATTCTTACAATGCAATTATTGAGTGCACATCAAGAGATAAATAATTTAAATACCGAAAACTTTAAACTAAAGACAGATTTACAAGAAATGATCAAAAAGGTAAACATGTACAAAACTATATGCTCAACGCCAACTAAAAAGAATATAGCACCATTACACAAATCAACCACTTCACATCACAAAACTAAAACATGTACTGTAACATTGAATGATACATCAAATGAATCATTTCGTGATTGCCCTAATACTGTTACTGCAACGGTCAGTAAAGAAGCGCAAACTTATGAAACCTATAATCCACAGTTACATAATTTGAGCAAACGATCCTTCAATGACGACAAAAAAAATCGTGGAGTAGAAATTGCAAATAACAGGCAGTTACAGAAACCTAAACAGAAAAATAAAATGTGTGTTCTTAACAGTAAGAGAATTAGAGGATCCTTATTTGCACTGGAAGATGTGTTCTCGGAATGTTTTGATTATTGCCATTATTTAATACCAAACAGTACAACCGAAGAGTTAATGAGCAATCTTACACAAAAACTTAAGAGCTTTAATTTAAATGACTACTGCTTACTTTTTATTAGTGAACGTGACATAAAGGAAAATAATGACTATGAAAAAGTAATACAGAGTATACGAGAGTCGTTGCAAGTAATTGCGCACACTAACATAATTATATGTTCTCCTACATATATAGCAGGAGCACCTATGTATAACTTCAAGGTAGATATGTTTAATAATCTTCTGTATCGAAGCATACAAAAACATAAATACGCATACTTTTATGACAGCAACCATAACCTATCACATGAAATGTTGTCATACACAACGGGCAAAATTAATAGCTACGGGATAAGATGCATATATAAACAAATTATGGATAACATACTGATCGATATTGACCTATTCGGTGGAAAGAGTGCAGAATTATGTGGTAGTGGGGAGAGTTGCAATGCTACCGATTCTCATACAAACAAAGAACCGACTAACTTTTTTCGTCACTAATAATATCTTTATATTACACCAAAATATTGCTAGAATAATAAACAAATCAGATGCTTTATCAATATGTCTTGAAGAACTAACTAATTGATAGGAAGATACAAATAGATATATTATGTATTACGGAGCACTTCATGGAGGCCGGTTATGAAAACTGTCTTGTTATGCCTAACTATTCTCTAGCTGCAATTTATAGTAGAAGCAAGAGCAAACGAGGAGGAGCCTGCATACTGGTGAAAAACGGTCTTCAGTGGAAGGAGTTACTGGAAATAAAAAAACTTACTGTTTCGGGTCAATGTGAATGCTGTGCTATAGAACTTATAGGTTATGAGTTTGTTATTGTTTGTGTATACAGGGTACCTAAAGTAGAAAACCTAAATATATTCTTTTCAAAGTTGGAAATTATGTTACAATTGTTAAATAAGAAACACTATAAAAATATTGTAATAGCAGGAGATTTTAATATTGACGTTCTCAAACAAAACAATGTAACGGTAGATTTTGAGAGTATATTGCTAAGTTACAATATGAAATTGGCTATAAGAGAACCTACAAGAATAGTAAGCAAAACTTGTATCGACAACTTTGCTCATAATTTTACAAAATCGTGTAAGACGGAAGTGTTGGAGTTTGCTTTGTCAGATCATACTGCACAGCTAATAAACATTCCTATTAAAGTACCTGTCATAAAATTATGGAAGAAACGTATTCGTGATTTCGCTAGTGAAAATGTCCTGAAATTCAAAGAGTGTATTGGTGGTTTGTCTTTTTCTGATATGTATTGCGAGTGTGATGCAAATAAGGCATATAATTGCTTTGTAGATAGCTTTAAGTTATATTATGACCTCTGTTTTCCTTATAAAACTATTGTTATACGTGTTAATGGGAAACCAAAATGGATATCTCGTGGGTTAAAGAAATGTAGTGCAAAGAAAAAACATTTACTTTGGAAGTTTAGATTTAAACCTACCGTCAGCAATAAAACCATATACATGACTTACTCAAAATTGTTTAAAAAGATTATTAAATTAACACAACTTGCTCAAAATAATTATAAAATTAAAACCTCATTCAACAAACCCAAAACTATGTGGAACTTCATAAACAGGTCAAAGACTAATATTCCTCGCGACTCAATTAATAGAATTAAGGTAAATGACAATATTGTTACCGATCCTGGTGCAATAGCTAATGCTTTCAATAACTTTTTTATTGACAAAATAAAGCCAATATCAAACTGCGGCAAAAATGTGACATCAAAAATTGTAAGTACTAGTAATTCTATTTTTATACCTCCTAGCATACCAAATGACATTCAACAAATTATTAACGGACTAAAAAACACAAATAGTGTAGGAATTGATGACATTTGTACTAAAATAATAAAATTAGTTAACATAAGTATTTCTGGACATTTGAGTTATATATTAAATTTGTGTATTTGCAATGGTATTTTTCCGCATAGATTGAAAACCACAATAATAAAACCTATATTTAAAAAAGCTGACAAAGAGTCAATGGAATTTTACAGACCCATTGCATTAGTTCCTATCATATCAAAAATCTTCGAAAAGTACATTCATAATAAAATGTATACATATTTAGAAAAAAATAATTTACTGTGTCAAGAACAGAAGGGATTTAGAAAAAGTAAAAGCATTAATTTGGCTATTTATGATTTCTATAAGACAATAATGGGTAACGTCGATAAGAGGACCCCAGTATGCGCTATTTACTGCGATATGACACAAGCATTCGATTATGTGGATCATCGCATACTTTTAAATAAATTACAAGCATATGGAATCAGGGGAACAATTTTAAAATTGATTGAATCGTATATTTCTAATAGATCTCAATTGACTGCAATAAATAAAGTGAACTTAAGAACCAGGTTCGAGGTTGAATATAGGTCAGAATTGCGAGGTAGCAGCTATGGTGTTCCGCAGGGAAGTGTATTAGGCCCCCTATTATTCATAATATATATTAACGATCTACCTAAATTTACACACCATCCAATGTCATTGTTTGCTGACGATAGTACAGTTTCCATCCAATGTAGAGCAAGTGAAATGTACCAAAATGACATAAATAAGTGTCTATCCGCAATAATCCACTGGTTGGACAATAACAATTTAAAAATCAATTTGGAAAAAACCCAAGTTATGCACTTCAGTCAAAGACCCCAATACCAAAACATAGTTGTTAGTTACGATGGTCAGCCCTTACAGGAAGCAGATTCAGCCAAATTTCTGGGCTTAATTATTGACAAAAAACTAAACTGGAAAAACCATGTAGCTGACCTCTCCAAAAAACTAAGTAGCACTGCTTACGGTCTCTACAAAATAGCCTCGATAGTTAATACTGACGCTGTGCTTACCGCCTATCATGGACTTGCAGCGTCTAGATTGCGATATGGAATAGTTTTTTGGGGAAACTCTACAGATAGT